GTGGTTGGTGGGTGTTCTGGTGTGGTTTGCTCCTTCTTTCCTATCCAACATCTATCTTCCTGATCTCTTTCCTCCTTCTTTTTTTTGTTTGCTACTCGCTAGTAACTCCTCTAATCTTCGGTACTTATATGACCTTATTGTGTTGCAAGTGCCGTAAACTATTGCAAACATTAAATAACAGTACGGCCTGTACCATCAAATAAAATAAGCGTATATCACTATATCTGATGATAGAAGATATGTCACCTACGGTATTTCAGACAAGAGAACACAGTCCAAGTGGGTGGTTGCCGGGTACTCTGGTGTTGTCTGTTCCAATCAAATATCTATCGTCCTGATCTCTTCTCCTTCTTCGTTGCGCTTGTTACTCTCTTGTGACACCTCACTCTAATCTTTAGTACGTACTCGTCCATATTGTGTTGCAAGCACCGTAAAACTCTTACTAAAGCTAAATCTAAATGCTGTTCCAAGAAATAATAGTACACCTGGACTTACAATACATCGTTGAGTTACGTTTGTTTGTCTTTCTCGTTCGTATACTCTATATTATACAAAAGTAACAGAAATAGAAAATAAATCCAGAATAAACGCAAGGCTGGTACACCATGACATGTTGATAAGTAGGAAGATGTATCACTATACACTATCACTATCTCTGTTTTCCCCTTACCCTCTCCTTTCCAACGATAACTGTAGGGCGCCTGCTTATTTTGATTCCGGACATTTTACGATGAACTCGGTAAACCTCCTCCTGTTTTACGTCGCAGTGATTTTTCACACTGGAAGGTACACCAGATCTGGGTTACCGAGTTCATGGAAGTGTGGCACAAGTTGTAAACAGAATAATCTGCGATCCGAATTTCTTTTTGTTGTGGCATAGGGCTTACTTCTGAGTCGGAATTCGCACTTTACAAAATTTTTAATGCTATTTTGTAGTAAAAGTAGTAGTGGACAGTTGGAAGTTGGTCCGGTATTTTCTGCATATTCTGCTCCCTTTCTACGATATTGTTGTTTGCATTATGTTATTATTATTATTGTAATTATTATTATTATTAT